GAACCGACGATAATGCGCAAGCGTGAATGTGTCGGGACGGGCGTGAAGCCCGCCGAACAAGCAATCGTCTTCCGGCTAGCGAAGCGTAGAGTCGCGTTCTTTTACACGGCGTCGTATATTCGTTTAATTGCTACGCGATTGAAATCCGCCAGACTATTGAGTCTGAGACAGATCACGAGGACGTCTCCGTAATATCAGAGGAAGCAGCCCTGCTCAGAAGCGATTGAAAGTACCTCGCTCGATACGACTGAAGGAAGGACGAACTTAGCCATTGCGACGTGGCCTCGTTGAAACGGAACGAAGCGGCCATCTTGGACATTGCGACGTGGCATCGTTAAAAAGGAACGAAGCGGCCATCTTATTCATTGAAGGTTCTTACGGTTTTGGTCGATGACCATCATTACAATTTAGCACCGGCGGATGCATTCAGGTAAAATATCGAACTCGTGTAAATCAGAGATCACATACGAGATTGATCGGCAACTCTCAAGCGGATTATGATGAACGCAAGGTCATCATAAAATGCGATCGTTTGATTACAGAGTTTGAGAAAGCACGGAGCGATGGATATCGTCCTCGCATAAAGCACGGAGCGATGGATATCGTCCTCGCATAAAACACGGGACGACGGATTGTATCCTCGCATAAAGGATACGTAGCTAACTAAATCTTATGGAATTAATTATCTGTCTGAGCTCGGTAGAACTTAAAGTCATTTTGAATGGTTGCAATCTTTGAATAAAATCATTGATTCTCGATGTGTAGTAATTGAACTTGCATTATCGATGCACACGTGATTCGGATATTCACGCATAGTCTGTATTATCTTGCATTATCGATGCACACGTAATTTGGATATTCACGCACAGTCTGTATTATCTTAACGAATATTGCGATTCAACCCGTGACTATTTGCCAGCTATTAACGTTTACGAAACACCGTATTACATACGAAAAGTTAATTATCATTTAATTGAGTTCGCTATTCATTTATCGAATTATGTCTACTACTTGAAATACTTATACAACTGGATTGACTGCGGAAGTTACTGTATCAATTAATAGAAAGAAAGTGCATTATATTGAAGTTATAGAATCTCACACAATATTTATATAAACCTAAACATTCTTTCGATTGCTTTACTTTCCATATGTTTATTTGTTTACTTGTTAAGTGAGAGATATATATACATCTAACGATTATTTACGACGAATTACTAGTTGACACAGTACTTCAACTTATTTATGCTTTGTATATTCTTGCTATATTTATGTAATATGTTTTGAATAATATGTTTAACTTGTATGATCCTTTCTTCAAACAGATTGAAGTAATGAAACCCCTTGACTGTTTTTCTCTAATCGAGATACAAATAACGGAAATCTGAGTTCTTACAATCATTTATGATGAGAGATTAACTTCTTGTAGTGACAAATGAAAAAAGATTATGCATTGATAATTCAACATTATCTTATTTTGTATTGATACTATGTGTTCTCTATATAACATTTATTACCATATATTCATTGATTATAACATAACTGCCATGGAAATACACAATCTCTTTACTGACGTAACAACAAAAAAAGTGTCGTTCCCTATTCTGTAAATCTTGAGAACAAGCTCCTGCGCGAGCTTGTACGTTTTAAACACGAACTTTGTCTTTTCAGTACACATGTGTGCAGTGCACCCACTGTCCAAGCACCATTCTACACCATTTACGCTCTCGCGATTAAATAATACCGTCTCAACTGTGTTCAGCATCGCCGTGTCTCCGCGCGCTTGTTCCGAACTCACCGATTCATTGTCATTGTCTTCCACCTGTCGTGCACTCACTTGTAAATTCGCAGGATACTCTGCCAGACACTTTTTGGCAATATGACCGGTTTTACCACAACGGAAACATTTAAGTTTTCTTTGACCCGCACTTGCTTGGCTTTCGGTTTTATCATTCCTCGAATCTTCACGACTGTCATGTGGCACACGCGTGTTTTGACGAAACTTTGACCTTCTCGCGTACATAACATTCTGCTCTGTATTGTTGTCGCTCGCTTTTCGCGATTCGTATTCTTCAAGTATTTTCACTCGCAATATCTCGGGATCTGGCAACTCATCTCGCGTCTCAATAGCGCAACAAAAATTTTCAAACGATTCTGGCAAACTGTATAACAATAAGATTGTTAGCACTTCCTCGTTGACTATCAAACCGATCTCTTTTAATCTTGCCACTGCCTCGAAAAATTCCATAAGGTGGATTCGTACATTGTCCCCCTCTTTCAATCGTGACAAAATAATTTTCTTCAAGAGTATCGCTTTTCGCGCCGGTTCCTTCGACTGGAATGTCGACTCGATTTATAGCCATACTTCTCTTGACGTTTCTAGACCACGGATCACATTCAGCTCCGACGTACTCATCGACAACACGATATCGGCTTTTGCTTTCGCATCTTTATTTGTCCATTCTATCTGTCCCAGACGACGGCTTCACTTTTGTCCCGTTCACGTAGGCCCATACGTCGTTTTTCACCAGTATAGCCTCCATCTGCATTTTCCACGTATCATAATTTTCGGCAGTTAACGGCTCAATTCTCATAATCGCCGACATTTTAACACCACTTTTACTGTTTTTTATTGTTTCAGTCTTTATCTCGCAATTTCTCTATTTTTGCGTATTGGTTCTCACACGCTAACGGTTTTCCCGTATACGCGGCGCACGGTACACCTTAACCACGTTTTTGCCGAGCTCTTCACTCGCGACTTTTAATCAAACACTCGCGTTTCACGCACCCCGGGCCCATAACCTGTTGGCGGGTGATAATTAGAGTTTATTTCTATATAACGCGGTTTTATTCAGTATAGAATTACAACGATTATGGTTACACGTGGTCAACCGTGCGACGCCAGAAAGAGAATTGAACTGAACTATGAGTATCAGAAAATAGAATAGATAGGCGTCGGTAATGTCGCGACAGTTAGTTCGAGTGGAGCCACTTCGTATCTCCAACAGAATTCCTAGAAGAAAATAAAATAGAACTGGTTTTTACTGCAGTAAATACACCTTCCTCCAATGGTTTGAACGAGAGACTAAATCAGACGATAGTAAACAAAATTAGATATAGAATAAATGAAAGGAAAGAGAAATAAGCTTAGACAACAGTGGCAAAAGAAATGTATTGAAAAATATAACTAGAGAGAACACTCAGTAACAAGTTTTGCACCAAGTATCTGTTAGATGGCACGAACGTTTCTACGGCACCTGATGAAGTAAAAAAGAAAACGGCTATAGAAGATTGGACCAAGGATAAAAGATTAGCATTGGAAAGTACTATCAAATCACATGACTACAATAAAAAACTATTTGATAAAAACCGTAAACAACTAGAATTCAATATAAGAGACAGAGTATATATAGAGAACGGAAATAAACTAAATAGGAAAAAACTAGACGAATTAAGAATAGGACCTTTCAAAATAACAAAAAAATATCAAATACGATTTACAAGATAAACACAGGAAGAAAAAAATCCGAAACAGGCCTATTCCACATTACAAAACTAACACCAACCTCAAATAATAAAGAAGAAGCAAGCAAAGAAGATTTAGAAGAGAATATATAATTCAAGAAGCAGCTATTATTGCGAATTTTCAACCCAAAGGGAGGACATGTAAAGAAAGGTATTTTTTTCATTTGAACCCGCCGCGCTACAGTAGTTGGTAGTAGGCCGAAGTCGGTAACACTGACCAAGAGAGATAGATAGAGAAAGAGATAGAAAATGATAAGCACGTGTGCGTATCTTGCAAAATCATTGAGATAGAAAGATTGTTTGAATAAAAAGTAATTAAAGGTGTAACGGAGAAAGAAACTTTAATTGTCGTTTCTCTTGCTACAGGTAAGATTGTAAATATTGTACATAAATTGTTAAAACATAGTAAACAAAATTTAAATCTCTTGTTACAGAGCAACACATTGGTTTTTTTCTTGGAAAATCCTCAATAATAGAAATCATCTTACATACATAAAGTACAATATATGTGCCAAATAAGTATAAAATTTGGCGTGACGTCTCCCGACAGCTCTTGTTAAATGTGCAATTAATTATAGCGTAAAAATAAACTATTTTTTATTATATATGTATTAAAATTTTAGAAAATTTTACTTTTTCGTATTTTTTATTATTTTAAACTTTTTAAAACTGTTTTATATTTATTATTATTTCGAATTTTTTAAACCTGTCTTTTTTACCGTTTAATTTTTTTAGTTTTTTGTTTTTTAATTATTATTTAACTTACTTTAGGCAGCAGTCACGGGTCTTTTTTTCTTTTTAAACTAACTATTTTACCAATTAATTTTAAAGTTCTTGTTTTTTGTATTTTGTTTTTTATTATTATAATTTTTGTTTTTATTATATTTTTTTTACCAATTAATTTTTAAGTTCTTGTTTTTTGTATTTTGTTTTCTATTATTATAATTTTTGTTTTTATTTTAAGTTTTTAATTATTAGTTTTGTTAACCTGTTTTTTTACTAATTAATTTTTAAGTTTTTATTTTTTATTATATTTTTGTTTACTTAATCTTTTTGCTGCAATTGCGAGATTTTAATTATTTATTTGACGTCACTGTGCTATCTGGGAGTATATAAATCAATTATGACAAGTAATTTTTTCTATCTTTTTAGCGTTTTTAATGATTTTTATTTATATATAATAAATTTAAATTTATAATTATATAAACATGCATATACAGGGTGTCAGGTAATAACCCTAAGAGCACAGTTGACGGAAAGTCGACGGTAAGTCGACTTTTATAAGTCGACTTCTAGTCGTCTTCTAAAAATGGCAGAAAATCGACTAAAAGTCGACTTCTAAATAGGCGACTCCTAAAAATGGCGGAAAGTCGACTAAAAGTCGACTTCTAGTCGACTTTTAATAGTCGACTATAAAAACGGAAAACAGTCAAGCGGCGCGTCATGCATCATCAATATGGCGGCGAATCTCGAGGAGGCTGGAGGAGAAAATTAGTGTTTACGCGAGTGCAAAGAATACATGCCGCGAGACAGGACACGATAAGACGTCCAAAAGCGCCGCGCTATCAACCACCGCCACGAAACGTCGTCGTCGTCGTCATCATTGTCTTCCCGTTGACTTCCTCGATTAGATCAGAATACTGAAATTTGACTGTATGTATGTTGCAATATGTTTAAGACGGTTGTCTACATTAAATTGTCTACAACAAGAATTGTTACAGAATGCCGTTACCAACCGACATGGAAGCGAAATTGCTGCGCCAAATAGTTCTTGCAGGTATGGCGGATCTAAAAGAGGATCAGGATAAGGCCAAGTGGAAACATGCTTTAGAGGTTAGGTATGGTGTGTTATTAATTATTATCGATAATTAAGACCTATTGAATGCGATCTCTCTATTCTGAACCATCTTTCAGAACACCATCAGAAATGGAGGAACCTGTGTTCATGCATTTGAGACAGGATTTTTTTTTGCCAAACCCTTTCACCCGACGCGGCTTGGGTCAGAGCTGTCGGGGCTCAAAATGTAATTAATATGTCTAATATGTTGGTTGGCAGTTAGTTTTATGAGAACTAACAAACTCTGATTTTTTCAATAAATTGGTTCGATTGAGTGACCCAGGAAACAGGAGATACCAAGAATTGGAAAGTAATTGACGGAACTGAAGACTGTTACTTACGTTTGACAAGAATCGGTACTCTTTATTTTCCAATAGGTAATCACAACTCTCGGAGATCGACTCTCCGTGCGATCTCTTTCGACAATAGTTCGACGACGCTTTTACAATTGACCCTCCGTGCGATCGCTTGACAAGGCTCAACGACGTTACGAGGTTATCGACTTTCGCGCACGGTGTTCACACAGAGAGTGTTCGGTCGTGCTTTTCCGGGGGCCTCCTGTGGTGCGGCCGGTTTGGGAAATCGCCACCGGCGCGGCAAGGCCGACGCTCATTGGCCGCTGGACGATACATTGTTACCGACACAGCCGTCGAGGTCTGTTCGGCATTTCGGCTGTACAGAGCAACCCTAGCGCTAAGTTTAATTCTAATGTTAGTTAAATATCGTCTTATTCTAACGCGAATCCCCGAGAGTTTAGACTGCGAGATGTTGAGTTCGGAATTTCCTGTCACATCCCCCCCTTCGGACCTCAACGTCTAAGCAGGATAATTCCTCCAATAGAACGATCAAATATCTTGATAGACTGACTTTTATCTGCAACTTGCGGCTGAAATAAAAGGTTGACAATTGTCTTAACGTACAATCTGCAGTTCCGTCCAATATGCCACAGGTTACTTAGCAAGAGTGTATATCTTCTTGGTATCTTAGAGGATAAGGTCGAGGTTGATTATGACAATTGACTTAGACAATAATGTATGTATTTTGAGGAAGGAGTGTTAGTAGGTGAAGCTGGAAATGATACACCTATTACATTGGCGACAATTGTATTTTAAAGTCAAGGTAACTCAATAATGCTTTATAACTTTATAGCAATGCTTATTTACTAAGATAGACAAAACACAAACGGGAACTTAACTGTTATCTATTCCGGCGACCCTTACTTACAGTAAATTTGACAATAGTTACTGTAAGTTATAATAATCAAACTCATCAAAACAAACGCAATTTAACGAAGACAAAATATTTTAAAATAAAGTGTTTGGCGTTGGTCGTCGGAACCTTTGTGTGAAGGGCAGCTTACGTCCCCTTCTTATATTTTGTGGGTATTATAACGTGGATTTCCTCCCCGTCTCGCATTTCTGGCCTCTCCTGCATGATCTCGTCGAGGGTTTTCATATTGCGCGATGAGCATACCGCCTGAATCGCGAGGAGGTTCCTCTCCACCGACAGTTGCCTCGCTGGCGGCGCAGTGGGGTTGGCAACAACCGGTGCGGAGAGGAGTGCATTCTCCCGAATCAAAAATGCGCGTACGCGGTTTGGGTAATCCGTAGGGTCGTCGAATTTCGCCTTGACCCTTCTTTTTAGGATCTCTGTACCTTCATTGATCAGGTATTGGTGATCCTTGGGTACTAGTGCTGTAGGCCAAGTGGCGTAGTTTAGCCTCAGCCAATCGACGATGTCCCCGTATCGCACGTTGCAGTCCGGACATTCCGGACAAAGAGATAAATCAGTGGCGCATCCTGGGCACCGGTTGAGGGCCAACTCGTGTTCTATCCCGTGCGGGTAAATACAGTCATCGGTGTCAAACCCATCGGCCCCACAGATTCGGCAGAATTCGGGACGATAAGGCAGTTTACAGTCCTTAAAATGGTGCTCTTTCGAACGACAGTTGACACATCCAGCGACGTACCTTTTACCCGCGGCGGTGACAAAGGTTTGGGTACCCCGATCAACTTTGGTCGCTTGCATGCGCTCAACGAGGAGCTTGGCCCGTTTGATGATGATATCTTTGAGCATGCTCTCACTGATGATTCTGCAGTCAGTGAAGTACAGTGGCGTTTTTCCGCTTGCGGCATTGGGAGATTCCGGGACACCGAGTTCCCTCAGTACCTCATCAAAAGACGGCATTTTTGTTAGTGGTAGTGGCATTACAGCCACCGAGGGGGCGACCAATGCCTTCGGGTCGTCAGTTGTCTTCAATTCCCTCTTCCATTTTGGCGACATCTGCAAGGGATGATCTCTACTGGGGATGCGATTGCGTTTTACGTTTTCCGCATAGACCTCGGCAGCGGAAGCCCTGGTGGGTTTGGTCAGTTTGAGGCGAGGGGGAGGAAGAGCCCGAATTTCTCTGAGAAGTCGTAAGGCTTCGGGGCTCACTGTCGGTGTAACTTTTCCGACTTCCTTCTCAGGAAGTGGCTTATCATAACCACCCGCCGTGAAAGTCCTCGGCGACACGTTACACGAGTGCGTGGATCGTCGCGCAGCTTCTGAAGTGGCATCAGATGGGGCATCTGAAGAATAGGCTTCCTGCCACAACGTCTTATCTCGCTGAGATTCGCGTTCGCGTTTGGTTAGGAAGGCCTTGACCTGCTTCTCAATTTCCAACCTCCGTTGGAGCAGCTCCTCCAGCGTAGTCTTATCGTCTTCTTCGCCCATGATGCCTTTGTCGTTTGCGGTTAGGTCTTGTCGGATTGTCTGTAAATTTTAAGAGTTGCGTAAACTCCGACGAGGAATCTTCAAGTCCGTTACATAGTATTTGCCAACGGTCTTATCAGCTTTGTCTACCAGTTCGACGATCATTGGCCCGATTATTCGCTTTACAATTGCTGGGCCAAGATACCGGTGACCCAATTTAGCCGAGTACCCTCCTGCTTTATTACTCAATTTTTTGTTTGGATAATAAACTTCCGCACCAATATTTAAGTCAAACCGTTTCGTTCGGTCACGATTAGCCGTAGCAAGACATTTGTCGGAGTACGATTTCAAGTGATTTTCAACCTGATGTCGTAATTCGTCGAATTTACTTAATTTTTTAACCCAATGTTCGACCAGGTCGTCTGTTACCTCCTCATGACCATCAGTGAAACGCTTCCGTTGGTTTATGTTTGCCTCCCGCGCGTAGTTTAGATATAATGGCGTGACTCTACTGCCGGCATGGGGTACCGTATTGTATGCGAGTTGGAGTTTTGACAAATCTTTATCCAATTTGTTTTGACTATCTTTTATGAACGCGGCGATCATTGGTTTTATCGTTCTATTGACGCGTTCTACCGGATTTGCTTGGGGGTGCGCCAATGGGGTAGTGATATGGTTTATTTTCTTAGCTGTTAAGAATGCTTTGACGTCTTTATTTGCGTATTCCGTACCATTATCTGTAATAATTGACTCGGGGACAATTCCCCATTTGTCAAATATTGTTTCTAAGATTCGGACGACGTTCTTACCGGTTTGCCTACGTACTGGGAACAGTTCGACAAATTTCGTATAGAGATCCTGCACGACAATGATGGTGTTGTGAGCGCACAACGCCCTTGGCAACCGAGTTGCCAAGCGTTAAAGAAACTCGACCCCAGCGACGAAACGTAGAGAGCAAGGTCCATCCACGAGGACCAATATCGCTGACGCGAAGGTCAGCGCCGAGCGCTGACCATAGAGGTTAATGCTACCGCGGGCGATCCCGAGGTAGCAACCGGAAACCGATGTAAGACCGCCGAACCGAACAATCAGGCGGTCGGTCTGAAACCATCAAGCTGTCGCGTCGAGTCACCTGCGAGTTATCTATAAACGAAACGCGAAGTGGAACTTGTAGTAAGGACACTCGTGTAAGGCAACTCAATTTATTAAAGTGGTTCAATATAACGCCTTCCTTCATCCTTCATATCGCGAACGGAGCCCGATCCCTCTTAGCCGACAAAACGGCTAACAATGTATACATTCCCCTTCTTTGAACGAGTAAACGGCCCTACTGTATCGATTGACAATTGCGCCCACGGTGCGAGTAGAGGTCTTGTCATCAAAGGTACCTTCAGTGGCCTCTGATTAAACTTGACTTTCATGCACACGTCGCAGTTGTTGCGGCCCCAATTAAAATGTTATAATAAAATAAGAATAATATTAAGAAAGACCGAGAATAACAATAGGGAACACGACCGCGAAAGCCCGAGAGAATTACGCAACGCCGAATCAGCAAAAGATGAGTTGCGCGATCGACCCAGATACGATCGAGCAACTCAGCGATATTGAAGGACAAGACGAGGATTGAAAAGGAAGCGACAACAGGAGACGAAAGAGCAATTGGAGTCTCGAAGCGACGGGCGTTTAACGCGAATAATCATTGTAACTCGAAGTGGATTAATTAAAGTGTCATTTATTGCAAAGTGTTGTTAATAAATCCCGCCTCCTCCGTGGATAAACGATCCCTGGTGTCCCGCCGTAAAAAGAGGGCACAACACAGTCCTCGACAAAGGATTTTACGTCCTGCGACATGCCTGGCCAGTAATAGTTTTGTCGTATTCGATCGTATGTGCTATCTCTACCTAGGTGCCCTGCCTGTGGAGTTTCGTGATTTTCACGTAAAATCTCGAGAACTTCAGCTGGCCTGACTACTCTTTTCCACAGATGTTCGTCATCGATCAGCATTTTCGCGTAGTCTGGTCTATGGTAATATAACTCGTCATTCTCGATCTTCCAACCCACGAATCTATCGGGTTGTTTACTTACGAGTTCACGTTTTACATCATACCAGTCTTTGTCACAAATAATTGTTAACCTAGCTCGATTTTTTATTGTTTCCTCGACCGTTTTCTCCCACCCAAGGGGATCAATGTCAACGTCGTACATACGCGAAAGGGCATCCGACGCCTCATTTGTTGTTCCGCGCCTATACTCGACTGTCATTTTATGCTGTAGAAGATAGATAGCCCACCTCGCGAGGCGGCCTACAGGATTTTTTAACCCGTAGAGCCATTGTAAAGCCTGATGATCCGTGACGACTTTAAACGGCATAGCCTCTAAGTAACAACGCAATTTATCGACCGCCCAAACCACCGCCA